CCCCCCCCCCCCCCTGGACCGATTTCTCAAAGCTCGATTACTCTCCACTAAAAACAGAGTCACCGTGCGGTGTACCGTGCGGTGACTACGATTGAGCGGTGACTCGTATCGTTCATGACCTACGAAGTGATTGCTTCACGGTAATTCTTGAGGCAGCAAGCATGCTGATTACGAACCGCGAGTCTTCAGTAGTCTACCGAGAGACACGAGATTACGTTCGTATTGGAGCTCTGTCGTTCGCCGATATTTTTGCAAGTGGTTCGTCGCAGAACGTGATGTGGGTTGCGACGGGCGGGACAGCAGCAGGACTAGCAACAGCGGCGCACTATCAGGGCCGCGACGCGTCAATCTCTCTCGAGGGAAACCTGCACTTCGGGAAAGGTTGTTAATCAACTACTTGTACAAGCAATCAGATCGGCCTGGTGGCATCCATGCATCCATTACCGTACTGCTGTGTATACGTGACACAAGATGCCATACCCCCCTGGACAGATTTTCAAAGCTCGGTTACTCCGCAGTATAACACAGCAGTCTTCGTCGAGATCTTTCCGAAAGTAATCATTGGATTTTGGCATCCTCTTCGTCGGTGGTACTTGAAGCAGCAGTAGTTTGAGCTTTTGAAAATTGGTCCGGGGGATGCGATACCTCTGGTCACCTACGGTCGGTAGTCTACTGCTGCTACTGCTGCTGCGTGTTTCGGAGGGGGGGAAGTACGTGACTGCTATGGCGACGGGCAGCCGAGATTTACGTCGCAGCGATCTCCCATGCTCATATACCAGGGTGGCCAACTACGGGTGGTGACCCACACACGCTGGGTCACGTCCAATACGCTGGCACAGCAGCAGTCAGTCGACCTTGTTGTAGAGAGAGAGGAGAGCAGCATGAGGTGCTTTAGCACCACTGACTGGCGGATGGGACAACCATGGGTCTTTTTCTCGGCGGATCCTTTCCTAACCACGACTCCTCAGACTACGACAAAACACCGACACACGCATAGTGGGATGCGGTAGCCCTCTTTTTCTACCGAACGCACACAAGGGAACTGTTGCTGCAAAACAGCAGTGCCGCATCATGGTGGCCATGTGGCAGTTGGGTCGAAGTGTGCAGGAACACATGTTTTTGTTTCGCTCACCCTGCAAGCTTGAGCAGGGCCGTCAGGCCGCAACTCCTCAGCAAAGCCCTCATCGAACAGTGCACAGGCGAGTGGAGGAGAGTGGGCCCAAGTTTGGCTTGTGGGCGTGCCGCAGAAACCACCAGACACAGCAGCAGCAGTCGGGGAACGCCACCGAGAACAGGTCGCGGTTCTAGTGGTGTCTTCGGTGTCTAAGGCATGTCTGGTACGGGGACGCTGGACATGGGAGATCTCGGAGATCACACAAGCTGGATGCTGCTGGGCTGCCTCGGAGCAGAACACCCTCTGCACTTGGTGTGCTTACTCTCTCTCTCTCTCTCTGCTATCTTACTGTCGTTCTTGCCTTACCCCTCCGCTTGGACTGGGCGTCTTGTCTCCCTTTCTTTTAAACTCTGTCGCTTCAAGCGTCTGATCCTGCTGGCTGCGGGATTACAGCGGTAATTCATCGAAGTACGCTCTCCTGGAGGTTCAACCCTTCCTTGAAAATCGCTCATGTTTTGGTTACGGCGCAGCGCGTCGTGCCTGGTGCTGCTGGCTGCAGCGCTCGTGGGGATTACTCCAGGATCCGAAGGCTTCCTGGGCGCACCTCGGTCTGCTGTCGCTGCTGGTCGGTCGGGTACGGCGGGAAGAAGGGGTTGCTGCAGAACAACAAGCGCGCGGCAAGGAGGTTGGTGCGCACGCAGGTTGTTCCTCATTGTCATGTATAGTCGACTGCTTTGCTGTGGACCGTTATTGCGGCATATCTTTTGAAGGTGTAGTCCAAACACACTCTAGCAGCGCGTTCCTTTCACACAAACACCCTAATGCTGGAATGTTTTCGTTCGGACTACAACATTCATTAGAAACCCAACACCTCGTGCACTGCACCAAACTGTCTATTCGGCTACAGAGAATGCTTCTTGTATGTACACCTCCTACGGCGTGGACATGTGTAGCTCTTGTGCAGAGCGCACGTAGAGGTCCTGCAACTCATCAGGATGGTCGCACGTGTGTCATGTGTCGCATGAATGATGTTGGTTGGCATCGATCATGCGTACAACTGTAACCCACAATTGGATAGAGTAACCACACACATATACTGTACATGTTGGATATCCATGCATACGACGTTTTGTTCTGCTGTGGAACTAACGGAAAATGCGCCCTTGATTCGACAACCAACCTTCGTCAGGACAAGTGATAGTCGCAGCAAACAGCCGCGACGGTGAGGATACAGCGGCAACCGGAGGCGACGTACATTTAGTGAGCGCCTCTACTGCCACTTCCACCTGCCGTAACTGCAAGCAACAGTTCAACCCAGACGACAACGTGGACGGATCTTGCTCGTGAGTTCTAGGCTTTTGGTCCGTCGGATGCGTGAGCTGGTAGCTGCTTACCTCCTGTTTGCTCGGGTGTACCGACGTGGGTGTTGATGTCCGCACGTGTTGGGCAGAACCTGAACGTCATGGATGGGGCGGACGGACGTGTCGATGAGTCTTGTTCGACGCGAACGAAATAATTTGGTGCTAGCCCTCAATGTTTTTTTTGCCGGGACTTTGCGCGTGCTTGGATCCCGCATGTTTTCGAAGACTATGACAACATAGATAAGCTTACCTGAAGACGGTTTATTCGCCCCCCCTCGTTACTGAGGTTCTTTTTCGTCTCCTCTTCCTCCTCCTCCTCCTTCTCCTCCTCCTACTTCCCCCCTCTACCCGCCTCTTTTTCTCCCTGTCGACCTGACTGCCTGTCTGCCTCTTAATATCTGCTCTGCCTCTGCTGCCTCGGCCTCCGCACCCACCCCCTCAACTCGCTCCCCCCTCCATGCACTCGGGTGCTTTCGGACCAACTACAACACCACTACGCCGCCGCCGTCGCCGCCGCCGCCGCCACCATCACCATCACGGCAACAACAAGCAGGTATCACCCGGGTCTGTTCAGCGGGCGACTGAACCGCATCAACGACGTCGACACCTCCGGCCTCGAGTACTTCTGGTCTTGCTGCGGAGAGACCGACCCTTCACACCCGGGGTGCGTCAACGGGAAACACGCCTCCTACGATGACCCCCCCGAGGGAGGGGACGGAGCGTGGAGATCCCCGCTTACCGGCACCCTTCGGTAGTGGCGTACCGCTGGTGATGACAGCGAGTGTAAATCGGCCGCGCAGCAGAATAGTACGTAGCAGTGTGCACCATACCCTCTACGGCGGTGGATAATTTTTCTCTTGGCCGTCGGCTACATGCATCGATCACGTCGGCCACAGCATGATAGAAGCGTCGGCCGGGAGCCTGATCTCTTGACTGATTCATCACCAAACTAACGTACGAAGAAACTTCATTTTATGCTTTTGTGTAGGGTGTGGCCGCGTGCTTGTCTGTTGCTCTGTTTGCCTTCGGGGTGGGTGGGTTGTTCGGTTGATTACGACAAGGGCGGGGGCGGGGAGCTGACCGGTAGACTCTTTTTCCCCAAAGTACAACACGACCATCGTTCAGAAATAGACCAGTTCGTACGGTAAGTATGTCTTGAAGCCATTGAAGGAGCGCGCACTGCACACTTTATCGATACCGGCAAATTTACTGGATGATGCTGTAATGAGCTCGATGTGGCGCACTTCCGTGCGGGAGAGGATTTTGTTACATTTCCGGACTGCTCAAGGGTACGCGCGATCAATTCATTGTGCCTTCGTCGACCGCGATTGTTTTTTTTTCTCCCATCATTGGACTCTGTCGTCTGGCCCTCTGGCCCCCATCCTCCTCTCCTACTAGCTAGACGACCCAACCAAGGTCACACAGGAAGGGAGGGTCGGACCCCCTCCTGCGGTTTGTAACCGGCTGACATCAGAAATGCTTTCTATCAAGACCATGACCTGGGACCCCGTGAGGGAGTGTCATGGGGCAGGCTAGGCTATGCTCCTCCGTATAAAGAAACGGCAGCAAACGAAGATAACGGGACGTGTCGAGACACACCAAGCAAGGCCATTACTTTGTACTCTTGTGTAGTGTGGTCTCCGTGGCATGTTGTTGCTTTCTCTTGTCTCTTCTTGTGTGCACTACCTCCGCCAAAACACATCTAATTACCATCACAGGTAACCCTCTGTACCTCCGGCGTTGCTGTGCGGAAAGTCATCTGGCTCACTTATCTTCCTCCCTTCCACAGATACATCCCTTCATCCTCTATCGTTGTTTCCATCCCTCACTTTTCTTCTCTCCTCCAATCTCTCTTGTGTGTGTGTGTGATCTTTGCTTCGCATCGACCGTGCGTGCTAACGTGCTGGCCAGTGAAAGAACGTCAGTCTGATCGCGGAAGGACAGACGCAAACGAACACGCTTCTTACAGCGGGCTGCCGGTAGGCGGGTGCGGAGGAGATTGGATGTCAGCGTACTTCACCACACGACCAGTAATATTCGGGCTGCTTTACATGCATGCAACCTCCTGTGCAAAAGCTTGCCCTACAGTGGGCTGCTCGCTGCGTGACTCCAACAGGGACTTTTTCGCCTCTCTCTGCAGTTATTATTCTGGAACTCTCTCCACTGCCGCTCATGTTGCTCTGAAGGTGTGTATCTTTGCATGTATTTGTCGCTGTCGACGAACGTATGCATGGAAGGTCTGATGGATCGCAGCCCATATTCCACGCCACTTGAATCCCTCTGCCTTCGCCTCATATCTCTGGTCCTTCAAATTCATCGTCCATTGTTACTATCAACATCGCTCAATCTATTACTACCCACCACGCTCCTGGTAATGGTCCATCTCCATCGTTTCTTCCCCCTGGGAGACAATGCAGAACTCATCCTGCATCATCACCCGTGTGCAAGGGGAGACATCCAAAGCCAGGACACGTTTGCATCGACAAATCACGTGGCAGTTGTGTGGGAAGACATATCGGCGAATTGTGGGCTTTGCCTGTTACCTTTGGCCCGACTCTACATCAGCGCACCCGAAGACGAGTTTCATTCACGCCAAGACTTCGGACGGATACGCGGCCGCTCAACTCTCTCTCCCTTTGGGCAGATGCCATGCAGATGCAATGACTCGTGACCTCGCCAGAGGCACGCCATCTTGAAGAAGCGGAGGAAGGTCCGATTGGAGCTCTTTTGCATTTTGTTAGTGTGGCTAAAAAGAGTTTACTTGTGCGCAATACATGACTGCGTCTCCCTGTCGCGACTGGGAATCCGATGATACAGTTGTGCAAGGTTCACGTTTTTCTAGAAGCGAGACGCAGCCGGGCATGTTCGAATCGCTCATCATAGCCTCGCTCATGCATAACACAAAATAAGAGCAGTTCTTGCCACGATCTACTCATGTATGTGTAAATCGAAGGGTCTGCGGCGTCAACCTTTCCTCGCTCATCAACATACACCACCTCCAGAAAAAAAGGGTCAGGTTCGGTGTTCCGAGGTTCGATCTAGCTTGGCGTCATCAGAGATACAACCAGACGTGCGAGCCAGAACATTCACCCGGTGTCCATCTGCAAGACAGTCTTGCATGATTAACGAAAGACAGATTTCGCTGGATACTTTCTGAGGGGTGGGGGGTCCACAAGAACGTCGAAGGAATCACAGGCAAAAACGGACGCAAGCCCCCGTTCCCACTGCGCACACTCCGCCAATTACAAATACAAAAACAGAGGCAAAAATTATGTTAATTCCTTCCGTTCCTCAGCGAGCTGGTGCGGGCGACAAAATCCTTACGACAACCTGTATCGCGGCAAAGGGCACACACGCTGTTCCGTTCGACGCACTGAACCGCGCACGGGACGACTGCGGGAGGCTTTCGCACCGACACCGACACCTCAGACGCCCCCGAACGCATTTTTCCGCGTGCTCATTAATATTAGCCACCCCCCCGCTTCTAAATAGATAGAACGGATAAAACACTTTACACACCAGAGCCGAGGCCAAGAATCTGAAATCTAATGAAATCTTGCAGTTTTTTTTTTGTATTTTTGCCCCCCAGTGCGGCTTCTTTGTTGCTCCTCCTGCCGCTATTGACGCTGCAGGCCAAACATGCATACAGAGCACCGAAAAACCTCAGAACCACAACAGAGGAGACCGACCCGGGAGACGTTCGGTCTCACAATCCAACCCTTCGGCGTCTATTCGAGAGAGAACCAAAACCGTTGCCAGCACCGAAAAAACTTACGGCCCGTGCTTACTCGTCCAATCTATCCGTCCATCCATCAGATCATGACCCTACCGGTCAAACGCCACGTCGTCACACCCCCGCGGGGACAAGAAAGAGAACACGGGCTCTCGTGCAAAAGGACGAAAAAAAAAAAGGAAAAAGTAACTGTCATCATTCCTTCCTCTTCCTTCCCTCTACTTGTTCATCTCCTGCCCCTCGATGATGCCCTTCTTCTTCTGCTCGGTACCGAAGTACAGCGTGATGAGGAACGAGCACGGGATGAACATGCCCACGACAATCGCGAGGGTGGCAGTGCCGTTGTCCGCGAGGAGCTCGGTGGGGAGCTGCGCCAGCGCGCTGGACGGGTCGGCCGCGAAGGAGGCGAGCGGGGAGCACACAGCTGCCGCCGCCCCGAGAGCAGCAGCAGGAGCGGCCGCCGCCGGCAAGCCGGACTTTGCGCTCATCTGCACCGCCTGCTTCATTGCCACTGTAGGGGTAAAATAGCCGGGACATCGGAGGGAGCGGGGGGGGGGGGGGGGGGG